CGGCAACAGCGGACGAGGTCGCCTACTAGGCGGAGCTGGCGGAGGCCATGGCCCTCTCTCCGGCCGCCGAATGCGTGGTGCCACCATCGCCACCGCGGCTAACCCCGATGACGCCTGCACCCGAACAGGCCAAGACGTACCTGTGGACCGGCCAGGTACATGAGTTTGTCAGCGCCCGTCCCATTTGGCTTGGTGCCACACGGGCGCAGGAGGCACCTCAAGCACTAGCGGCAATGCAAGCTGGCGGAGGAGTGCACCGACTGCGAGCGATGCATGCGGAGGGAGCGGGAGGAGGACGAGGAGCACGCCCGCGTCGCCGCATTGCCTGCGCCGCAGCAGACGCCGGAGGAGGCAGTCCTAGCAGCCTATCAAGCCGCCTTTGGCTGGGCTGGGCCGCCTCCCGTCTTCATCGACCTCACCGGCGGCGATGACGGGGACAAGGGCAAGGGCAAGACAGACGTCCAGGGCTGCGTGTGGGCGCCGACTTTTTTTAGCTTTTATTAATGTTTAATCAAGTTTTAAGTGGATTTTGGCCGGCGGATGACCGGCCAGTTACGTTAAATTAAGTTCGTATTATGGTTATTTGTGACATGTGTGCATCATTTTTTTTACGTGCGCAAATTTGGGCCGGTCTCTTGTTGGGCGCTCCAGCTGACCCATATGAAAAAACGGACGCGCCCGTTCGTATGGCCGACCCAAATGGACGAAAAGCGGACAAAGCGTCCGTTTGGGTCGGTGCGTTAGAGTTGCTCTAATTTTTTCACAAGGCATGCAATACTCAAATATTTCATGATCTTTTTACAGAATAATCAGATTACTGGGACATTTATATTGAAAACTAGTTCGAATTATTTTGACATTTCGGAAACCATCTGACAATTCAACGTGCGTAGGAGCCCATGGGCAGGCAGTCTGCAGACGAAGACCACACGCAAGCTCTGCTGCAGCCCTACGCACGGTCTCGTCCCATCACCATTGCCTATGGTAGAATTAAGGGCCTGTTCGGTAGCTCGCTGGCTCCCAGCTTCCGCAAATATCCGAGCGGAGCTAGCCCGAACGGCCCAGCTCCAAGAGGCGGATCCAGGATTTGAAGTTACCCGGGGCGGATTTCTAATATAAATAAAAATTGAAGTCACAATACAATCAAATAAGAAAATCAAGTATATTAATAAGCCAAGAATACACATTCAGACAGGACGATCAACACAATGAATTTTTCAAAGTTGTTTCACTCTTAAGAATTACTACGTGGAAGATATATAATGCAAAAGTTTATATAAAATCTAACTTCCAGGAATTATGCCAACGTAACAACAAAATAAAGAATGATAGAACAACAGAGGAGAAGACTAGGGGATAGCCAAGAACCTGCTACTTGTTGTTTCTGTTGGCTGCTCGCTTGCTGTTTGGATCGGGGCGTGCGGCCACGGTGAACACGTCTCCTGTGCTTACTAGTAGACTGCCCGTGCGTTGCCACGGGCTTTTTAAACTTTGTATTAGTTACATGTCGAATTTTATTTAGATATAAAAGATAGCCAATAACAAATGAAAAATAATTTTAATCTACTTCGCATGCAATGTATTTCAATAAAAGAAATTAATTCTACCTTACACATAAAGATTATCATATCCCGATGAACAAAATAAAGGTGGTACCCAAACATTGACCTCTTTACTGTGCGCTGCATTACAAATGATAAAAACACTTGAATGCTCTTTTTAATTTATGCTTAAGATCGGTTGTCTCACGAAAGCATGAGCATTGCTATTATCCATTAATTAAAATTAACACATGGATGATTGTGTTCCCTTTAAACAAATGTTCCAAGATGTTACAACAAGAAACTTAATTGCAATGTGAAATTGGTTGGCGAACTATTACAAATAAATGTAGGCATTTGAAACCCCATTTAGAAACTACGGTAGCAAAACACATCTTCTAGAACATGCTACTCCTACCTATCTTGGGAGAGGTAGATACATCATTAGTACTTTCTAATAGAGTGCCCGTGCGTTGCCACGGGCTTTGAAAAAAATTAAAATACAATTCACGAAGCTAAGAAATAACCAAGAACAATACCCTCTTAGCTAACATACATATTTTTTTGACAATCAGCTAACACACATAGTATCAAACACAATAATGTTATAGCATTTACTTCCAGTCCCCTCCAATCCTCCTCAAACGTCCACATACACGCCTGATCAGTGAACGAATAGGATAGAGAAGGAAAAAAGGTGATCAAGCCGCAGCTGGTCCCCTCAAATTTAGCTAATTGCTAGTGTGTTGCAATGGGAACATACATATTCTAGTGGCTCAATATTAGTTATGTCCAATCTGTATCTTTAGACCCACATCACATCGAATGTTGTGTCAGTTTTTGTTAACATGAAATCAGACTTGTTGTCTCCCTATTCCTCTCACCCCTTAGGTTCTTGATGTCATCATGTGGATGCTCTAAGACATACTTCCTCCATTCCTAAATATTTGTGTCTTTTTAGAGATTTCAACAAGTGACTACATACGGAGCAAAATGAGTGAATCTACAATCTAAAATATGTCCAAAATGAGTGAATCTACATACAGAGCCGTACGTTGTTGATGTGTTGAGTTTACGATTTTTCAGTGAATAAGATATCTGCGTAAAATGAGGAAATTATATTGTTCTATAAATATAGTTTTCTATGTTTTGCAGGCTCTCACAGTTTACTTTTGGCTTGAAAGAGAATCAGATTGCGGATAAAACACCACTTCAGTTTGATTGAAGCCCTTGTGATCGTGACAAGTCAATGACATTAATCTTCTTGGGCGCCTATCATCTTATAGAACAACACTTTGAATAAACTTGGGAGCCTGCATGTATATCGGATAATTCAGAATACAGCTCACCACAAGCTTATTCAGCACCAAACATGCTATATACTCAAGCAAGCAAAAATAGCAATCCTCCTCAAACACAATAATGTTATATCATTTACATCCAGTCCCCTCCAATCCTCCTCAAACGTCCACATACACGCCTGATCAGTGAACCAATAGGATAGAGAAGGAAAAAAGGTGATCAAGCCGCAGCTGGTCCCCTCAAATTTAGCTAATTGCCCGTGTGTTGCAATGCGAACATACATATTCTAGTGACTCAATATTAGTTATGTCTAATCTGTATCTTTAGACCCACATCACATCGAATGTTGTGTCAGTTTTTGTTAACATGAAATCAGACTTGTTGTCTCCCTATTCCTCTCACCCCTTAGGTTCTTGATGTCATCATGTGGATGCTCTAAGACATACTCCATCCGTTCCTAAATATTTGTGTCTTTCTAGAGATTTCAACAAGTGACTACATACGTAGCGAAATGAGTGAATCTACACTCTAAAATATGTCCAAAATGAGTGAATCTACATACAGAGCCGTACGTTGTTGATGTGATGAGTTTACGATTTTTCAGTGAATAAGATATCTGCGTAAAATGAGGAAATTATGTTGTTCTATAAATATAGTTTTTCTATGTTTTGCAGGCTCTCACGGTTTACTTTTGGCTTGAAAGAGAATCAGATTGCGGATAAAACACCACTTCAGTTTGATTGAAGCCCTTGTGATCGTGACAAGTCAATGACATTAATCTTCTTGGGCGCCTATCATCTTATAGAACAACACTTTGAATAAACTTGGGAGCCTGCATGTATATCGGATAATTCAGAATACAGCTCACCACAAGCTTATTCATCACCAAACATGCTATATACTCAAGCAAGCAAAAATAGCAAATATAACATACGGCTTATAGTCTTACCTGTTAAAAGCTCTTTTTTTCCCTTATTATTTTGGAGAAGAAGTGTCGGCTGCATATCCATGTGATCTTTCAAGGCAGAAGGACCTACACTGAAACAATCTTACCAATGTAGAAATACAAAAACAAGAACAACCGAATTACAATTTTATTCAGATATCAGCAAAATCTTAAGGTAACTTATATTATTGAAGTACACCCAAGATTTGTTCCTTTCTCAAAATGTCAACATGGTTTTTGAGTTGTACTCAGAGGACCATTTCATGTCATAAAATTGAATTA